GTAAGAGGGAAAAAACAAATAATATACAAAGGTAAATCCACCAAACTCACAGCAGATTTCTCAACAGAAAATATAAAAGCAAGAAGGGGATGGAGTGAGATATTCTAGTACTGAATAAAAATAACTTCAACCCTAGAACACTCTACCCAGCAAAACCATCATTCAACCTAGATGGAACAATAAGAGTCTTAATAAGACTTAATAAGAAAGTAAAACAATATATGACCACCAACCTACCACTACAAAAGATTTTCAAGGAAATCTGCACACAGAAAGTGAAAGCAAACAAAACCATGAGAAGACAGGCAATACCAAACCACTGGAGAAGAAAAGGCAAGAAAGTGGAGAGTAACATTAATTCAGCTGCACACAATCAAAGCCTTTATCAACAAAAATAATGAGATGACAGGAATTACTGCATACTTATCAATATTAACACTGAATGTTAATGGACTCGACTCCCCCATCAAAAGACACTGTCTGGCAAACTGAATTAAAAATGACAATCCAACAATCTGTTGTTTACAGGAGACCCCTCTCATTGACCTAAACAAGAACTGGCTTAGGGTGAAAGGCTGGAAAATTTACCAAAAAATGTCCCCCCAAAACAGGCAGGAGTAGCAATACTTAGTTTGGAAAAGTAGACTTCAAACTTATGTTGATCAAACAAGATAAAGGACACTCTGTACTTATAAGAGGACAAATACACCAAAAGGAAATAACAATTATCAACCTATATGCACCCAACATCAATGCACCCAATTTCATCGAACATACTCTGAAGGACCTAAAAGCGTATACAGACTCGTACACAGTGGTAGTGGGAGACATTAATACCCCTATCACCAATAGATAGGTCATCCAAGTAAAAAAATCAATAAAGAAATTCTAGAACTAAATCACACCATAGATCAAATGGACCTGCTGGTGTCTACAGAATATTTCATCCAACTTCCGGACAGTATACATTCTTCTCAGCAGCTCATGGAACATTCTCCAAAACTGATCATATGTTAGGGCAAAAGCAAGCTTCAGCAAATATAAGAAAATAGAAATAATCCTATGCATTCTATCTGATCACAATGCATTAAAACTAAAACTCAACAACAAAAGCAGCATCAGAAAACATGCAAATAATTGGAAGCTGAATAACACATTTCTCAATGATCAGTGGGTCATAATAAAAATAAGAGAAGAAATCAAAAGTTTCTTGGAAGTTAATGAAAATGAAAATATGACCTACTGGAACTACAGGACACAGCAAAGGCAGTCCTAAGAGGAAAGGTTATAGCCATGAGTGAATATATTAACAGGACAGAATTGTCTCAAATCAATGACCTAGTGTTACATCGCAAACTCCTAGAAAAACAAGGATAAGCAAAACCCAAAATAAGCAGAAGGAGAGAAATTATAAAAATAAGGACCAAAATTAATGAAATAGAAACAAGAACAAATAAAAACCATACAAAGAATCAATGAAACAAAAAGCTGTTTCTTTGAAAAAAATAAACAAGATTGACAGACCCCTGGCAAACCTGACTAAAATGAGGGGAGAAGAAACACAAATCAGTAAAATCAGAAATGCAAAATGGGAGATAAAAACAAACATCACAGAAATCCAGGGAATCATCAGAGACTACTTTGAGAGCCTACATTCCAATAAATTTGAAAATCTTGAAGAAATGGACAAATTTCTAGATACTTAGGGCCATCCAAAATTGAACCAAGAGGATATTAATCACCTGACTAGATCTTTAACAAAAAATGAAATTGAAGCGGCAATAAAGAGTCTCCCCAAGAAAAGTCCAAGACCTCGTAGATTCTCTGCTGAATTATATCAGACCCTTAGAAAAGACCTAATACCAACCCTCCTTAAACTGTTCCATGAAATAGAAAGGGAAAGAACACTACCTAACTCCTTTTATGAAGCCAGTATTACACTTATCCCAAAACCAAACAAAGAAACCTCCAAAAAGGAGAACTATAGGCCAATTTCCTGAATGAACATCAATGCAAAAATCCTCAATAAAAATAATGGCAAACTGAATCCAACAATGTTTCATAAAGATCATCCAACATGACCAAGTTGGCTTCATCCCAGAGGGGCAGGGTGGTTCAACATAGGCAAACCAACAAATGTAATACACCACATTAATAGAAGCAAAGAAAAAAAACCACTTGATCATCTCAATAGATGCAGAAAAAGCCTTCGAGAAGATCCAACACCACTTTATAATAAAAGCTCTAAGAAAACTAGGATTAGAAGGAAAGTACCTGAACATTGCAAAGGCTATACGTATCAAACCTCTAGCCAACATCATACTTAATGGTGAAAAACTGAAACATTCCCTCTACAATCAGGAACCAGACAAGGATGCCCACTCTCCCCACTCCTATTCAACACAGTACTGGAATTCCTAGCCAGAGAAATTGTCAAAAAATCTCTGCAGATGATATCACCCTATACATTAAATACCCAAAAAACTCTACCCCAAAACTCCCCAACACCATAAACAGCTATAGCAAGGTGGCAGGCAGGATACAAAATCAACTTACAAAACTCATTAGCTTTTCTATACACCAACAATGAACAAACTGAGAAGAAATATAGTAAAACAATTCCATTTACAATAGCCGCAAAAAAAAAATCAAATACCTAGGGGTAAACTTAACAAAGGATGTGAATGACCTCTCCAAGGAGAACTACAAACCCCTGAAGAAAGAGATCGAGGAAGACTTCAGAAGATGGAGAGATCTCCCATGCTCATGGATTAGTAGACTCAACATCGTAAAAATGGCTGCACTACCAAAAGCAATCTACATGTTTAGTACAATTCCCATCAAAATCCCAATGACATTCATTACAGAGATTGAAAAATCTACCCTAAAGTTCATTTGGAAACACAAGAGACCGCGACAGCCAAGCAAAACTCAGTGAAAAGAGCAATGCTCGAGGTATCACAATACTTGACAATGACTGAACTACAACTTTGTACACATTAGGACCATTATTACCCTATATAGACCCCACACCTCATACATCCTCTCTCTTTTGCCACATTCCCTTTGCCACATTCTCCCTCCCTGTCCCCTCTCTTTACCAACTTTATAATTACCTAAGTATCTATCTCTATCCCAAAAACTGTTATCTCTCCAATACCAGCTTTATATAGACAATATTGCCAAGGAGGTTGGTTATATATTATGTAAATAACTTTGTAGTTACTGAAATTGTGAATCTGTTATGGCTAGGTTATACCTCCAGGTCAGGGAACAGACATATCACAAGTACCTAGCTAAAAATTAAGCTAGGCAGAGCATAGAAATTAAGTAAAGGGAAAGATAGCAGGTGATTAAAACCCCAACTAACTAATCAACAACACATGAGCAAAGTACCAAATAGAAACATCAGGAGAAAAAGAAGGCAGGGAATAAACCCCTCAGAAGACTAATAGTAACATATTAGAGGATTTGGTAAACAATAAAGGGGATGAATCCCCAGATGCTCACATCAGAACAATTATGATAAGGATGTTCAGTGAGTTTAAAGAACAGCTTAAGGAGGACATACAAAAAAACTCAATGAATAGCAAGACAACATGGCTAAAAAACTTGAGAAGATACAGAAAAAAGTAAATGAAATCAAAGAAGATTTCAATAAACTCCAAAATGAAACTAAGGATTTTTTAAAAAGAGATATATGAAATAAAGAAGACAGCACAAAATATGAAAGAGTTTAACAACTATATAGAAAATCTCAGAAAAAATAGAATTAAACAGAAACCCTGGAAATAAAAAGTTCCTTAAATCAAATAAAAAATATACTTGAAAGCCATTCCAGCAGACTAGAACAAGTGAAGATAGAATTTCAGCACCTGAAGACAAAACAGATATTAAAGGAAAAAACAAAATTCTGAGACAAGACCCAAGAGCTATGAAAGGAATACACAAAACTCTGTGACTCCATCAAAACAAACCATGTAAATCACGAGCATCAAAAAAAGGAGGAGAGGAGCAAACCAAAGATATACATAACATACGCAACAAAATAACATTTTGTTGAACATTTCCCAAATCTTGAGAAAGAGTTGTCCATTCAGGTACAGGAACCCTCCAGGACATCAAAGAAACATGACCAAAATAGAACCTCTCCATAGCATATCATAGCTAAAACAACTAACACAGAATGAGGAAAGAATATTGAAGGCTGTAATAAAAAATCAAATAACATACAAAGGTAAGCCCATCAAAATAACGTATTTCTCAATAGAGACCTTAAAATCCGTAAGAGCATGTATAAAGTATTTCAAGCACTGAAAGAAAACAATTTCACTCCTAGGATACTCCACCCAGAAAAACTATCATTCAAAATTGAAGGAAGAATATAAAACTTCCATGCTAAGCAGAAACTAAAACAATACTTAATCACCAGACCAGCACAAAAAAATGAAGAAATGCTCAACATTTCTAACCATAAAGGAAATGCAAATCAGAACCATGTTAAGATTTCACCTCACTCTTGTTAGAAGAGATACCATCAAGAACACATACAACAACAAATGTTGGTGAGGATGCAGGGAATAAGGAACACTCATACACTGCTGGTGGGAATGTACAAGCACTATGGAAAATAGCATGGATGCTTCTCAAAAAACTAAAAATAGATCTGCCATATGAGCCATCGATATCACTCCTACAAATATACCTGAAGGAATATAACTCAGGTTAAACAAACCATGTTTATTTCATCATTAATCAAAATAGTTAAGCTATGGAAACAGTCAATATGTCCCACTTCTGAAGAATGGATTAAGAAAATGTGCTATTTGTAAACAAAGGAATTTTATTCAACCACAAAGAGGAATGAAATTTTATCATCTGCTTAAGGAAGTTATCTAGGTTCAGAGGCCAAAAAGGCACATATTTTCTCTCATATGTGGAATATAGACTTTTTACAAATACAGCAACATTATGAAAAACAGGTCACATTAAGGAAAGATCACATATGAGAAAGGAAAGGTAAAAGAAGGAAATTAAGAAGGTGAATATAAATGATGTACTCTCTATACAAGAATGAATATAGAATTTTTTAAGTCAACTGAAACCACCATAACAAAGGGACTGGGGTAGAAAAAAGAAAAATAAAGGAGATGAACCAATATGGGCTATAATTCATATATACATACTAGTGCCACAAAGAAACCTCCTATGTAGCTATCTTAAAAACAGGCAAAAATGTCATTGTTTTCTTTCATAAAATCAGATAAAACACGAGGGCAGAACAGATCCTGCCTGGAGGTGTTTGTGGCAGGGTGTATGTGGGAGGATGTGGGGAAAGAGTGCAGGAAGGTGAATATGGTGCAAATACAGTGTACACATGTAGGTCACTGGAAAAACGATGTCTATTGAAATTATTCCAGGAATGAGGGGATAAAGGAGAAGGATGGAGAGGTGAATGCAAGTATAATATATTGTAAGAACTTTTGTAAATGCCACATGTACCTCCAACTAGCACAAAATAAAAAATAAATTCCACATAAAAATCATTATGGGGTACAGTAGGAAAGATAGAAAAAGTGGGATATTATTTGGGCTATTACTTTGGGCAAGTGTGGAACTACTGGTGCTTTCATTCCTGTCTGGTCAGAAAGGGAAAGAAGAAAATTTAGCTTCTTCCACATTTATGTGTGCAGTCACGTTTAATCTTCTTTGTCCTATAACCTTGGATTTGGGGCAACTTCCATTCTGTTGCTGGAAGCTGGACCTTTTGGATTAATTATTACCATAACTTAGTGAATTACAGGCGCCCACTCCCTCCCAGTGACAGCACACCACTGGTCTTTGCCAAAATCATATCTAGGTAACTATTACAAATTTCAGTTCTACAGAAAATAGAAAGCAGCACCAGTAACACTCTTAGGAACAAGGCATATGCACCTGGCTGGACTCAGCTTTTATTAGAACTAGAAGGGATCTGCAAATAGACTACTGGGGTTTGAGATAAAGTTGTAGCCATGGACCCCAGTAGATGATGTATTGCACATAAGGAACTCGACATTCCCTTTACACTTACTGTTGCAATTCAGCTCAAGTATAGGTACATCTGCCCAATTTTTGTTTTGACACAAATTCACAATCACTGTCATCCTGAGGATCAAGAAGGAAGAAAGCAAGTTAGGAAGGACAGGTGGGGAAAAGAAGGCAGAAAGACAATTTTGAGGGCTATCGCTGGAAGGCAAAGATCCGACAGAAGGCTCCTTCTCACCCACTCAGTTGACAGCCCCACTGCTGATTCAATCACTCCTTAAGCTTGGCAACTGGCATAAAAATGGACAGAGAATGGACACACCCTGGGGCAGCATAGTGACCTCCAGTTGTGCTCTGCATAGAGAAGAGGTGAAAGGAGGGGAACAACAATGTCAGTGAGATGGACAGTGCAAAATCATCTTAGCAACCACTATCTCCAGAAGGGAGGTAGGGCCATCTGTCTTGAAGGTCACATCCTCACCATTAGAGATTCATCTCTTCACTACTGGACTGCAGTCCTTTTACATAAAACTGATCCCACAATGTCCAAACCTGCTTATAATACGTTCAATACACATACAGGAATCATCCTGATAAACCACTTGTTAGTTAAGAGAAACCTAAATGTGCACCTAATATTACAGTGAGGCAGGCTAGTAAAAGCAGTTACTGGAAGCTGAGGGTCCCATACAAGGCCTCTTCCCACCAGCCCAGCTGCCAACTCACGGCTGATCCAATCGTTCCTTGAGCTTGGCAGCCGGCATAAAGATGGAATAGAGAATGCACACACCCTGAGACAGCACTGTGATTTCCAGTTTGTGCTCTGTCTGGAGAGAGTGGTGAGGAGGGAACAACAATGTCAGTGAGGTGGACAGTGCAATGTCACCTGCACAAGCACTCTCTCCAGATGTGAGAAGTGAAGGAGGAAGCAGGCTTACCTTAAAGTAGTCTAGGAACTGCCTGAGTGTCATCTCCTCACCATTAGACTGCAGTCCCTGTACATCAAAGCGATCCCACAATGTCCACTCCTGGTTATAGTACTGCAGGACAAAGAGAAGTGGGGTAGGGTAGGGGCCACCTGAAATGGCCCTAAGTTGTTAAGCTGAATCAAAGACACTTTCTGGTCCCAACATTCTCAACAGCTTCCTCTTACTGCAAGCAAGCAGGTGAAATTCTTGTAGTAACCAACAGACTCCACAGCTCTGATACCCTGTTACCTCTTTCACTCATCTACCAGCTCCTTAATTATCCATTTAATGTCCTCTGATTACAATGACTCTTCTCGTTTTTCAAATATGCCACTTACAGTTCTACTTCCCACAGGTCTAACTAAACTACTTGATGAATGAACAGGAAGGAGTACAGGAAAATGTGTACGTCCCAAATTACAGAATGCCTTACCTACTATGATTAGGACTATAACCATTATATGTAGACACATACACACTCTGAACCCATACACACATCAAAAGCTGCTATACTTGCAAGATCTCCACCTTGTGATGGGGTGGGGCAACGGGCTCAGAGAAGCTGAAGAAGGGCAGAGCCAAGTTGATGAAACTGTTTTTATAGGACTCAAGCTTTTGGTGTCCCTGAACCACCTTGTATAACTCCAGACACACAAGGCCTACCACAGCAGCTGTGGCTGTTGCGATGGCTGGGATGATCTTCCCTGCAATCAGCTTGCTCTGTGAGGCAGAAAGTGACCAGGACAGACTTATGTTAAGAGAGGACAGGGTCTACAGGAGGTAGCAAATGTGGGAAATGCAGGCTAGGTAAAAGGTGGTAGGACTTGTCTAGATTCCCACTACCTTATGTCGGTCTGCAGGGGAAATGCCATAGTTCTCTGCACGGAGGTTGGATGCAGCCACAATGAAATCCATGTGGAAGTTTCTGTCGTTATCCTGTTGTGAGTGGGACGGGCAGAGGAGGAAAAAAGTTCCTGGTAAGTGGGAACACTCGTATCTTCTACGCAAATTTTGTGCCAAACTCCCCCAGACTGCACAGAATAACCAGGCTCCACTGCAGGCCAGTAATCTTGAGAAAGGCCTATGGTGGAGCCACTGTCAACCCATGCCTCTGGCCATTTCAGAATCCCTCCCCCGCACCTTTTCAAAGTCAATGGGGTACATCTTGAATCCACGAAGCTTAGCTTCTGGACTCGGAAGCTTAGCTCTGATTTTCTCCAGGTAATCGTCACCTGCTGGAAGGAAGGGAAAACCATCAGCCCTGCTGAACCCTTTTGAACTGTGTAAAGTAAAAGCAAGAGCCCACAAGACAGAGGGTGTTCAGGCAGATAAAGGATTTGAAGAGAAGAGACATTCTGGGAGAGAGGGAGAAGGAGACAGAGAGGGACAGAGAGAGAGACAGAGACAGAGACACACATACTCACAGAGAGACACAGAGATCAGAAGACATCCAAAAAAAGGACAGCATGAGGTATGTAGGTGTGAGGAAATCAAACCAATATCACCTCTTGAGACCCTGCAGAGCAGAGATGAAAAAGGATGTGGCACAATACATAGGAGCCAAGAGGGGGAAACGAAGGAAGTATCCTGCAGGAGAAGACATTCGAGGTAAAACATGAGCGAGACTGAGCTGAAGAAAAGGGAAACATGGAGGAGAATTTCAGGGAAATTCACAGAAAAGTAACAGTGAAATATGGAATGAAATAAATAGGAAAAACTGAAAAAGGTACAGTGAAAGAAGAGAAGAGAAGATAAGGGCATGGACGATGGATGAGTCGGGAAAATACATGAAAGAGCGAGCTAGACAGATTTAGGGAGAAATACGCAGAGAGAAACATACAGGTTAGACACTTGGAAATATAAGCAACATATAAAGTGGGAAGATAGAGAGGTAAAAAGAAGACGTAACAGAGAGAAAGAACTTAAAGGGGTGGGAGAAAGAGAACATGAGACATGACAGGAAAAGAGCAACATGGGAGTTGAAGAAGAGCACCAGGGGGTCAAAATGCACACAGAGGAAAGTTTGAGCCACATACATGGACAGACAGATCCATGGATAGGGAGATCTGGAAGGACACAAAGCAGGTCTGGGATCAAGAACAAACAGAGAAAAATGGGCAACCCAGTAAGACAGACACTCAAAAGAACAGGGATGAACAAAACAGAGGTGTCACACACCTTTAATTTCAAACTTGGGTATCTGAGGCAAGAGGATCCCAGGTTTGAGGTTGGCCTAGTGTATATAATGATATTAAGGAGAGCTGGAAGAAGAAAGGAGGAGTGACAGGCTATGCCTTAATAGCCATCTTTATCATCCTCATCTCATACATGAGAAAGCTGAGGCGCTAAAGACTGGTCTGTGGGCAAATCTTAGGCCTACAGCTGTAAGAATGGCAAAGATCAGTGAGAAGTCATGGATGGACAGGGGACAAGTAGAGTGGTGACTCCTGGACAAACAAACACTGTCCTCACCGACAGAAGCACTGGTGCCCTGCAGCTCCTGGTCAGAAGCATGGATCCTGATACCAGGATCCATGGGGGCCTGCAGAGACTGCAGGTGGGTGGTCACTGCAGCTCTGTCCTGAGACCCCGTCAGTCCATACGTCTGGGCAAACAGGTTGGCAGCAGCCATCACATAGTCCAGATGGAGGGGCTGGGAGGAGGCAGGGCACAAAAAAGTGAGCGCGTCAGCCTAGAACAGAGAACAGGGAGTCTCTGCCCACTTCTCACCCACCCAACTTCCAGCTGATCTTGGGCAACCCCAAAGAGGAGACTTACATTGTTGACATCAAAGGTGAGTGGATGTGGACAGCGTTTGGGCCCAGACCAGAACAGTGCTCCCGAGCTTGTTAGCTAGGAGGATGGAAAGGTTTCGGGGGGAGGCTCTCATGACACAAGACGACTCTATCAATCCTGACTCATTACCTTAGCACAGAATCCTGGACTCACTATTCTGAACAATTCATTTTTTTGTCAGTCACACGGTAAGTGAACCAGCTTATAAATTAAACTAAGTTTAATAAGTGCAAATTCATCCACACAAAACTGCTATGTGACAAGTCGTCTTATCCTACTCCACAGATATGGATGCAGGGGTACAGAGAGAAATTACATGATTTGCCCTAGTGTCAAATGGAGATGAGACTTGAGCCCACACAAGTTATCGTACTCTTACCTCCACAATGTCTCACCTACAATATCTACAGGTCTCACTAGAAACCTGGTATGAAAATGCTAGGGAAAAAGAGAGAGGCTCTTTCTTTATTTGAGGGACAGGACACAGCACAAAGCCCGATTAGATTATCTCATACAATAGAGACTTAATAATCACTGCCTTGTTGGTATCTGTGACGGCTAGAATGCCTATAGAAGAAGCTATATTAGAGGCCTTTAGTAAGCCAAAGAGACCCAGGAAAAATGCAATACCCGGTCTGGAGGGAAGCTGTGCAGCAACTGCCGGATGTTGTCTGAATACTGGGAGTGCCAGTGGTGGTAGGCCCAGGTCACACAGTCAGCCCAGGTCTGTGGCCAATGCAACACCAGACTACGGTGCACAGTCTGCAACACTTCCAAAGGCTGGATGCCTGCCAGGTGTAGTGTCTCCTCCACAAATTTGGGGTCCCTATCAAGAATTCAAGAAAGATAGTACAGGGTTACACAACAGGCCCAAGTATTCACTAAGTCATTCAAAAGGTGTCCCTGGTAACATCAATGCCTCTCAAACAATTCCTAAGAGGGAAGGGAAAGAATGATATCAAGCTCAATACTGAACCAGTTTGGGATACAATATATATGTACACAAAAAGTCACAAGGAAACTCCCTTTGTAGCTACCTTAAACAAACAAAAATGTCACTGTTTTTTACTTTTACAGAATGTGAGAACAGGAGGGCTGAAGAGGTCCTGTTTGGGCGTTTGCTAGCTGTGGGAGGGTGGAAGAAGAGGCGAAATGGTGTGGGAAGGTGAATATAGTGCAAATACAGCATACAGATGCTTGTAAATAAATAAATGACACCTGTTAAAACTATGCCGGGATGGGGGAGGAGGTGAATTCAAATATGATATGCTTGATGTCCTGAAAGAACTTCTGCAAATGCCACAGTGTACCCCCACCCAGCCCAAGAGTAAAAAGAAATACAAAACAAAAAACCACGAAAGCCAATGTTACCCTATTCTAAAACCAGACAAGGAAACAAGAAACACAGGAAACCAAAGATCAGTCTCCCTGATGTTCATTTACAAACTAAATTCCACAACACTTCAAAAAGATCAAACATCATGATCGAGTTGGTTTCATTCCACACAAGTTCAACATACACATCCTTATGTTATTACAATAGCTGTAATAACAACACATAAAAAAGATCAGGGACAAAAATCACATGATCATTCCACTGATGAAGAAAAAGCCTTTGACAAAAATTCAACATCCCTTCTTGATTAAAAAAAAAAAACTCAGAGGAAACAGAAGGAAATACCACAACACAGTAAATCTGTCTATGACAAATGAACAGCCAAAATCATATTAAACAAGGGAAACCTGAAACTATTTCCTCTGAAATTAGGAAAAGCAAAAGAATGAACATTATCCCTACTCTTTTCCAATACAGAGCAACCCAGCAGAAAGAAAGAAAAGGAATACAAATAGGAAAGGAAGAAGTCAAGTTATCCCTGTTTTCAGATGACAGGACAGTGTACTTAAGTGATCCATAAGAGGCGGCCTCAAAAAAATACCTAGGAGTATTTTAGAAGTAAATAAGGAGGTGACAAAAATGATACACCACCAAGAACAAAACTGAGGAGAAGATGGAACTGAGGCAGGCTCAAAGAATTGAAAAAGAGATCCCAGAACTCCTCAGACCCCAAGTCTAACTTATTCTAGCATATTTCATACTGCACTCCTTATCTCAGCCCAGTGCTACCCTTTGTTGCTGTAAAATACGAGACAGGCAGCTAAGGACTGCTGGAATGGCTCAAGTGGTAGAATTCCTGCCTAACAAGTGGGAAGCCTGCAGTTCAAACACAGTACAGCCAAAAACATTTTTAAAAATGCTGGTGAGGATGCAGGGGAAAAAGAACCTCTGTACACTAGTGGTGGGAATGTTAATTAGTGCAACCACCATGGAAATCAGTTTAGAGGTTCTTCAAAAACTAAAAATAGAACTGCCATATGCCCATGCTATACTATCTTGAGTAGATATGTGAAGGAGCGTAAGTCAACATATAATAGAGCTTCTTGTACACGCCCGCTTATCACAGCAATCATGGTGTCCAATGACTGATTAACAGATAAAAAAAGTTGGACATATACACACTCAAGTATTACTCAGACATAAAGAAGAATAAAATTACGGTGTTTACAGGAAAAAATGGGAAAAAATGAAGATCACCAAGCTGAGCAGGACAAGCAAGCTTAAAAAAGTCAAATATTGCATGTTTTTTCTCATATGTGTAATTTAGACCTAAAATTGATGATGATGATAATGATGACATAGGAACATGAGTTTGTAGAATGGTGGGCAGTCTCACAGGAGTAACCAGGCAAGATAGAGGAGCAGAAAGAAGACAATACTGGGTGACCAACATGACTGAAATACATTATGTATCTATGCGTTATGTATTTATGAAGACAGCAATTTATTTATGCTCATAAAACAAAAGCACTGCCAGACTCCTATGGCTTATGCCTATAATCAGAGACAGACATCAGGAGGATCACTGTTTGAAGACAGCCCACAGACAGCCCACAGAAACAGTACTAGACACGCTAATCTGGAGAATACCCAATACATAAAAGGGCTGGTGGACTGCTCAAGTGGTGGAACACCTGCCCTGGGAAGTTGAAGCCCTGAGTAACACTAACACACACACACACACACACACACACACCCACACACACACACACACACACACACACACACCCACACCACACCCACCCCACACACACACACACACACACACGGGGAAAGAATACATGAGCTACTTACGTGAGGTACTGGTTGACAATTTCTGCTGGCTGCTTGAAGAGGACTTCAAACTCATCCCGAGCCCACTGCAGACACAGGAAACAAAATCATGCAGGACACTCTTTCACAAAATAGGTTTCTGAAGGTATCGGAAAGGCCAGGTAAGAACAGCACAGCTGCTGTGAGAAGATGAAGGCCCCCAAACATGGCTTTCCACAATTCCCTAGCATTTCACCTCAAATGTAAGAATCAATGACCTTGCACAAGCATATGTGATGTGTGTGCATGTGAGTTTGAAAACTTATGCATCAGCATTACTCAAGGTATCCATGGAAAAGAAAAAAAGGCACACCTATAATTAAGCAAAGATAATCTTTATACCGTTCACGGGGACTGAGAAGACAAGACAGATCTGCACAAAGACTGTTGTTTTATGAGGTCGCTGAGAATTACCAGTTTATTGTTGTTGGAGGCAATGTCGACTCTGGATTCTCAGGTTCAAATTCCAGCTCTCCCACATACTCCCTAGTTCTGTGATTTCAGGCACAAAGGAAATGTCCCTGTCCCTGTCTCTACATGGCAACAGTAATACTGCACCGTTCATGGACTGTTGTGAAGGAATGAGAAATAATATATACTTAAATCTTACTAAAAGAGTGCCAAGTGCACATTAATGCTAAGTGCTTTACAAAAGCCCTGTGACAAAGATTCCTGCCACGTATATTTAACAGATAAGGAATGTCAGGCAACTCTAGTCCAAGGTTACAAAGTGAACCTGTTTTAAAGTAACTGTGGATCTTCTGGGGGTAAGGAGGTTTGAATTCAGGGCCTCTCGCTTGCTAAGTGTGAGTCGCTCTACCACTGGAGGCACTCTGCCTGCTGAAACCATTTTTTATGGGATTCCCTGCCTATTGGGCAAAGGGAACCAGAGGCTACGAGGAGGGTTATGTGTTGCCAGTTTCCTAAGGGTACCCATTTTATCCAGCTCAACGCTGGTATGGTACATGCTTTACACATACAGGGATCATCGTGATAAACCAGGTGTTGAATACATTTTGGGCAACAGTACAGAGAAACCTAATTGTGCACTTAATATCACAGTGAGGCAGGCTAGTCACGGCAGCAAAAAAGCTGCAATGGGATTTTCTGCACAATGTCATTTCATGCTGAATTGCTCTTTGTCCCTACCCAGTACCATCCTAAACATCCTATTAATGGTTGTTGCAATTGTCAATTCCTCTGCAGGACTAAGTGCCCCAAAAGTAAAGGGAGGCTCTTGGCCAGTTCAGACCTGAGAATGGCACATGCCCAGTAACGGGAACTCTGTCCTCAATGTGACCTCTCAGGTAATGCCTTCCACTTACGACCTTAGGAGTACTGGTCGCATCTCATGCATACAAGTAAAAACCTGGGAATCCAGGCTGGGGATGTGGTTAAGTAGTAGAGGGCTTTCCTAGCAAGTGCAAGGCCCTGAGTTCAAACCCCAGTCTGTAAAACAAAACAAAACAAAACAAAACCCTGTTAATCCACATGAACTCATGTGTAGAGTACCCATGTTATATAACAAGACTTTGTTAACCACACCTGTCAGTTGTCCTAATCCCTCCTGTAAACATCAAGCAGATTTTTCCCACCATTTGCCTTTACAACTTATAAATTTACCTGTAAACAAAGAGAGCTGGGCTTCTGTGACAATTGGCCAGAGTCCATTGCTTTTTTGTGGTGCCTATACTTTCCTTTCCCTTTGAATAAAAGTTTGCTATTGCTTTGCAATCTGTGTTTCTGTCCAGTTCTTTGCCCTGAAATGCAAGGCTCTGGGATCTTCTTGACCAGGGTGTTCTGAGACACTCACTGGTAGGTAACATATTGGGTGAGCCTGAGCCAGCCAGGAAGTAAGGAAACCACCCTTCCCTACTCAAAATGCCATTTCCACTGCCTACTTTCACTGAAATGAATTTCTTGCCTTTGACTCACTTTCTTCTTGCTATGGGACATCATGTTCTGTCAGTCACTTTACTCTTCTGATTACCGCCTTATTATGGCTGACCCTGGGAAGTGACTTCCTCCTTCCCAACCTAGGCACAACACGCCCCAGTAGGGAGCCAAAGAAGGAGAAGGAGAGAGGGACAGATTAGATTGTGCAGCAGAGCAAACATTCGAGCTTATGCCACAGGTGGTTGGCCACCTTTCTCTCATCTGAGATTAGCAAGCTGCAAAACCCACACCAGAATGAAGTAAGAGCAAGAACCCTTTTCTTCTCTGCACCTGGGAATTGGCTATGACTTATTCTCCATCTTCATGATACTTGCCTATGCTGGTGGCAATACTGTTTGCTCAGCTCCGAGCTCATGGCAGCCTCCTTGGGCCAAGCTACCCCTCAGGAGCACTGGCAACAAGCACAGGAATGAGCTAGGGCCTGGGCATATTCTTGCAAGCACCTGTAGGGGGCATGGTGGGAACCTGAGCCCAAAAGTTCATACTGTACTCTTCTTCTCTCGGCCAATTAGCCCAAAGGCTGGAATGGCATAAGGAGTGGAGGAGAGCTCTTCTCTCCATGTTTGGGGGTGGTGATGGCAGCCACAATGGAGAGGGCAAAGTGGAGGCCACAGGCCCTTCAGCCTTGCTGTCAGCCACCTCTCCCACAAATCCCACCTCTCAGATGCCAGGAAAGTCCTTTGAGACCCCTCTCCCAGTCCTACAGAAATGACTGTGGGAGGAAACTTTAGGGAAAAGCCATGCATTTCCAATGGGATCCCAAGACCAGACCTAATTCCTAAATCTCCTTTCTTGAGGGAATTTATCAGGGCCTAATTGCACCCTTGTTTACTTTGGTTATTTGGCACACTTCTCTGACCCCACTATACCAGGCAGTTTTCGAGTAGGAAAAATATGTAACAATTGAATTAGTACACATAACTGAGAACTTCACCTAGAATTCCTAGAATAGGATATGGCACTTGGAGGAAGCCCAAAAGACAAGTAGTACAGAGACAGAGATATACTTGGTAAATTGGAGTAAGCTCTCCAGACCCCAGCATTCCTTGAACACCTAAAGGGATGGATGATCTGATGCTTCCTGGAATGACTACTATCTCTTGGGATCCCATCCAACCCTGTCTCCCCCCACCCTCTCCTTTCACTGGCCAGAACGAGGGGAGCTACGTCTATCCCAACCAATCCGTTTTTGGTCTGTATTAATATTAATATTGTGAATGCTTTCATCCTTCTAACCTTAAAAAGAACTGTCTTGCCTTTTACTGTAATGTAGCCTGGCCCCAATATCAACTGGGAAGTCAAGAAAAGTAAGCCAAGAACAAGAGCTCAATTTATAATACCATCCTACAGTTAGATTTACTTTGCAAAAGTCAAGGAAAATGTTCTGAGGTGCTGTTTGTCCAAGCCTTAATGGCCTTGTGTTAAGATTCTTCCTTTTGTAAAGGGACCTCCAAATCCCAACCTGAAAACCCTGAGGAGAAAGTAGATGTCCTTGATGACCACCTACTGCAGGAAGTGACTTCTGTCTCTTGGGGAATGCCCACCACCATAATCCTCCCTCTTACTCAAATGCCCACCAGCCCCCCCACATACTCAAAGTGGAACACTTTACTCAGAGGCTTCTCAAAACTTGTTCCTGCTGTGAGAGGTAGCGGGACCACAGGGCACAATTTGGGTTGGACTGAAGTTTTCTGTGAATGATATTCAGGAATGCAATGAAAATTGGGGAGATATTCTGAGATCCCAAATAAATTTGCAGCTGGATTCCAAACTCTGGCATTGGCTTTTGTTTGCTTGGAGAGACACTCAAGTTTCTTCTGGCTAACTGATGCACTCCCATAGAAAAGGAGAGAATTCTCATTGCCATCGATAGAAAAGCAGATGAAACATTTCCCAAAAATCCTCGGGCCCACCGACCTAGAACTGAAACTGAGGCTAACTGGGGTGGGTTGGGGGAAGGATGCAAAAGAGAGCTAACATGGAATGAAATCAAGGATTGTTAAGCCTGTAAACTATGACAGAGTAGGGAGAATCATTGTGAAAGAAAAAGAAAGCCCTTTCCTATGTCATATTATGACAAAATAGAGGAAGCTTTTAGGATGTACACCAGCAATGCACTTCTAGAAAGTGGGCTGCTTTCCTGGGCCAGCATTATATTACTCAATCTGCCCCAAGATTTAGGTGGAAACTTGGGAAATTTTATTTGTGACCACAGAGTAATAAAACTGAGCTGAGCTGATGTGTTTACTGCTTTTCTGGTCTGTAACAATCACCACCCGAAAGACGAAAGCAAGTGACAGCGAGAGGAAAAGAGGCAGGTCAAAGTTATGGTCTCCAAGATAGGAAAAGCCCACAAGATCCATCTAAAGTTCCCCTGAAATGCTTATGGGAAGCCATTTCTCTGCAATGACTTGGTGATGGAGCCTGATGGAAAGTATGCTAAGACATTTAATAGACCTAGAGACATTTCAAGCAAATCTGGGAATTCAGAAACAAGGCTGTATTGGTCCCAACTAAAGAAGGGGTCTTCAAAATTCAACAAGGATAACAGATGTTGATTAAGTGCTGGAAAGAAGGAACCCAGCTGATCCACTCCAGCCCAAACACAAGGTCCCTCCACAGTGATACTGGCCTTTCCATGGCCATCAAACTATAAGGAATGGACAGATGAATTCATCTTTTCAGGGCAAAGTGTGTGACAGGGGAACCTTCTGCTGACCAAGTACAGCCAAAGGACACTTACTCCTGCAAGCCAATAGAAGGCCTAAAATATCTCTTCTGGAGGGACCAAGAAGCTTCAGCATAGAAAATCCATAAAAGATTTATATGCCTAGTAAAAGATTTATATGTCTATTGCGTTCAGTCTTCTCCCACACACAATGGGACCTCACCGAGGACTTCTCCTTTTAGTCAAACTTCTAATATGGTTTACCCGGCTGTGCCTAGGCCTCTCTCAACCCACTTCCAAAATTCAAGTGTCCTGTTTTCCCCAAAACTCTAAGACTCCTCCTTCAACTGTTCAGCCTGTTTTTCTCCTGGCGTTAAGTCATCCTCTAGAAGAAACTTTAAATTCTACTTATATGCTAACCAC